AGCTAAAAAATATAATAAGACCTTTGTTGCCAAAAAAAAACAACAACTCGACATATGTTGTAAAATTTCTACAACATCACCCATGTTGCAAAAGTCCTTTGGCAACACCATCTATGTTACAAAAAGATGAAGACGAAAAAAAATCTGCAATACAACCCCCGTTCGCTCGTACTACACGTGTCTCACGTGGCTTTTGCCCCTGACTCCTCATGGCTCCCCTCAACTTTTTCTATAACTACATCAATGTTGCAGAAGTTTCTCCCGTAACGTAAACTATGTTGCAAAAAAGTGAAGATATTTTTTTTTCAACAAACCTCTGTTGTAAAACATCTGCAACAAGACCTCGCTTGCAAAAAAGTTCTGCAACACATACCGTGTTTTAGAAAGGTAAATAGCAGTTCCGATGTTTTGCAACAAGCATCTTGTTGCGGGGCTTGTTCTGTAACACCGCTCTTGCTCCAAAAGAGACACTCGTGAATGAGTAGATCGGATGGACATCCCGGAGTCGATCCAACAGCCACCGAGGCGGCGGATATTTTCTAGTTATCCGTCGGCCGACGCGTAGCGTGGCCCAAAAGGAAAACTAGAAATAGAAAAACCTAAAGAAAAAGGGCGACGCTAGGCGTCCGCCAACAGATCTTTAAAAAATATCCGCCGCCTCCGCATCTGTTTGATTGGGGCCATCCAGCAGCATAGCCTCTTCCTCACCATTCCAACAAAGCGAGTGTTGCAGAACCTTTTGCAACAAACCTCTTGTCACAAAAACATTTGCAACAGAGGTTCTGTTGCAGAGCTTTTTTTTCGTCTGAACTCTTTTGAAACATGAGTGTCGTTGTGGAAGGACTTTTGCGACACAGATGATATTGCAGAAGTTTTTTCTCTTAACTTTTTGCCAACATGAGTGTTATTGCGGAAAAACTTCTACGGCATAGATGATGTTGCAGAATTTTTTTGGTCTCAACTTTTTTGCAACATGGATGTTGCTGCAGAAGGAAATCTGGAACACAGATAATGTTACAGAAAAATTATAAGTGTTAGAGGCACGCGTTCAGTGGTGGAGGTCCTGGTTGGTTGTTCGTTGGCTGATCAATCTGATGGCTGTGCATGCGGCGGAAGTGTACGCATGATCGGCCGGCTGACTCTAATATTTTCCCAAAGAAAAAATAGAGAAAAACTTAGAGAAGAAACAAAAACCTCATTAAACTTGTTGAAACGTCCAAACCAAATGAAAGGTTCCACAAAAGGGTCCTTGGAAAGCTTCTCAAATTCGGTAGCTACACCTTGTTGGGTCGGTCCATTTCATGGATCGCTTGACGTAGCGTTGGTATGAGAGTCCCGTAGCATCTGCGGCTCTCTAACCAAAGGCCGCGACACTGTACAGCTGCAAAAAGGAGCCACATGTCCGTCCATGACGACATGGCCGAAGAAGTAACCAACCCATCATGCGCTGGCCTAGGGTACGCATTCTTCCTCGGTTTCATGGAAATCTATTCTTCATCCGTTTTTCAACTTGCTGTTGGTAACTGAATAATATGTATGACTTCATCAACAGAGATAAAACATACGTTTAAATTGTTCAAACCGTTGTCATTTTGATGCTCTATGTTTATAATATTTGATAATATTTTTGTATCTCTTTTACAAATTCATGTGTAAGCGAGACTAGATTAGTGGGGTGGGACTTTGAACGGGGGCTAGGTGGAACATTGTAAGATTGTAAGGTGAATCATGACGATACCTTTATAGGGCATAGAGTGTTGGCCGTTGACGTAATTTGTGAGTGTTTTAGTACTACCTACTCCCTCCGTTCCTTTATATAAGGTCTATTGGTTTTTTGATAGAATTCCGGAATATAAGGTGCATTTCTTCTAATTCCTCATAATTTCCTTGTTAGCCATCCAGAAAAATGATAAGTATCTCTCTCCTGATTGTCTCTATCTCTCGAGAAGATTGGTGTAGGTCGAGATGCAGCCTTGTTGCTCTTCAGGACAAGATCCTTTGCATTGTGTTTGTAATGTGTGCGGAGGCTTCTCTTCGAAATAGCTCGGGTGTGGTGTTGGTACTACACTTGTAGTTCACAACGAGTTGTAGTCTCCTGTAATTGTCTTCTACTCACTCCGTCCCACAGTGTAGTGTCAAAAACGTCTTACATTATAGGACGGAGGGAGTAACTTTTATAAATATGGTATGCCTTTGGCGTACTCTCGAAAAAAAATCTCTACATCGAAAACAGGTTAGTATTATTATTGTTATTGTTAGTATTATTATTTTCTTTTCTTCTTGTAATTTCTTGTTTTTTTGGTGCTATTATCAGTTGGAAAACAGGTTGTTGAGCATATGCAGGGGAAATTTTAATAGAGGAACTGACATTAATGCCAAAGTGGATGTTTCTGTAAGTTCAAACTTGTATTTAAAATCGTGCTTCCTCGACTTGTGCCATCCATTTTTTTCATAAAAAATAATGATTTGAAAAATATTAGCACTAATAAATTGTCGCACTGACTATATAGGTACCGGGTATTTCACACGGCCAACCGTCTCTTGAGAACACAATATTTAAGTGTAAATGTATCTGACCGCCGAGAAGTTGTTGAATGAGGTATACATCTCCACCTTTTCAAACCTGGTCCATCTAAATTTGATGTGGATTGTTAATTCTGAATCTCATGTCCATACATTATGTTTAAGTGATACATACTACACACCCGCGTCCCGGTCGCTCCCCCGCGGGCGACCCGGGCGCCCGAACCCTAGCGGCAGCCCCCGCCCCCATCCACCTCCCCTCCCGCCGCCGCCGCCGGCGGACGCCGCCGGGCAAAGCCCGCGCGGTGCCGGCGGCGGCGGGCCCTTTCCTTGCCTCCCCTGGAGCGGGGCCGCGGGGGGCTTCTTCTCCAGGCGACGGCGGTGCTCGGCGGCTGGCGCATCGGGCGGGGCGCGCTGGCAGATGGCGGTGTGCGGCGGCGCTGCTGCTGGCCGGGAGGCACGTCGCGGTGGCGCGCGAGGGCTGGCGGCAGCCCGGCGCTCTTCGTGGCGGGGTTGGCCGGCCAGATCTGCGCTGGCCGGAGGTGGGGAGCGGCGGTTGGAGCTCGGCAGGAGGCCCTGCAGTGCGGCGTGCACCGCCGCCGCCGCGCGGGTTCTCGGCTCCATGTAGAAGATCTGTCCCTGCTCCGATCGGTCCCGATCCGTGCTGGCACCGGTCATTGGAGGCGGCTTCGGCGTCCCCTATGGCCGGCCTGGCGGATCTGGCGTGCGGGTGAGGTTCCGGGGGAAACCCCTGGCTGGCGCGACTGCCTCCCCAAAGTCGACGCCTTTGGCGCCGATCCCCTTCCTGAAGGCTTTGGGGTGGATCCTCTCCCTTCCGCCTCCTCCTTGAGCTATGGCGAAAGCTTTTGTTCCCCTGGTCTGGGCGTCGATGGCACCCTGGTGTCATGCTCCTTCTTGAAGGCGGCGGCTGGGAACAGCTCTTGGTGGCGGGGCTGCTGGTGGCGTGGTGGCGGTGCGCTTCGGCCTTCTACGTGGTGCCGCGCCTTGCTTCGGGGGACCAGCGGGCGGTTTCTTAGGTGGAGCGGTGCTTCATCCATACATTGATGGCGACGGATCTTGACGGCGTGGCGCAGTGCAGATTCGGAGTTCGATGTGGGAGGATGGACTCGCGCAGGAGGACGACGCTGTCTGGCGTCGTGGTGGCGTCGATGGCAGTGAGGCCTGGCACGGTTCATGCAACAGTTTAGCTCTGAAGATGGATTGATGGTACGTGGCTGCGGCGGCCTCATACCCGGCAGGGGGCCTGGTTGACGAGCACGCCAGACTGGTGGGTACCCATACCCGGAAGGAGTCCTGGTTGGGACCTCAGGTCTAAGATGTTAGGTTTGGCTGCGAGGTCTGTTTGGTATTAGGCCCAGACCATCAGCGCCCCTTCATCAGTTAGATAGGAGTAGCGACAGAGGTTGCGAAGATGGTGGCTTTGGTCTTACTGTTGTACGACTTTGTAAGGTCTTGTGTTAATAATCAATAAAGTGGCCGTATGCATCGTCCAGATGCAGAGGCCGGGGTATTCCCCCTTTTCGAAAAAAAAAGATGTTTTGAATATCACAAATATACTTGCAGTATACAAGTCACCCTTTTGGAGTTGTTGAATGTACAACATTCATCATTTTCAGGTCAACGAGTTCTTTTTTTATGCCAAATCATCCTCTCTTTTTTGTTCGCAGATGACATTGCATTGGACCGATAGAATGCATGCACTTGTTGGCATGTTCATGCCTTACAATTCTTAGCACTAGTTTAGAGACGCCTTTCATTATGAAGAATATATATTGAATTCTACTTGCATGCGTACTTTATTCAGTATACATGGATACAAAACCTTCTCTTAACAATGCTAATTTTCATTTTGTAGCTTATATTATCCTATTACAAATAGAGAAGAGTTTTCTGCTCAGGTGTCACGTGAACAAGTTGACTCAGACTCAGAGTCATCACGTGCCACATGTGGTAAGCAATCCAAACAACTCAAAGGACTCAGACTCGAATTTGAGCCGCTTCATGTGATGGTCCACGTCATCCAAGTAATTTTTGTACGATGGAACGGATAAAATCAATAAGATGAAGACAAGATTGTTTACCTAAGTAGGAAAAATACATCCTAGCACCCAGGAATAATTACCCCACATGTTTCATATACTATCATGTGTAGTATATATATTACTTCATCATTTTAAATATGTTTAGAAACTATATCTAAGGTATTTCAAGGCGACCTATACGATTTTTTTTGCATGTGAGCCCTCTACAGCTGCAAAAAGGAGCCACGCGTCCGTCCATGGCGACATGGCCGAAGAAGCAGCCAACCCATCATGCGCTGGCCTAGGGTGAGGCAGCTGCATGGACGGTATTAGTATAAACTACGTAGCAGCCTCCTGCGTCGACAACAAGGCGTGCTAGAAGCGGAGAACAAATCTGCGTTGCTGCCGGCTGCTAAGGAGAGCTAACAGCTAGCAATGGCGTCTAGCAAGATTGCTCTGCCGTCTGCCGTCCTGGTGCTCCGGCTCCTCACCCTCGCCCTCCTCCTCGCGTCTCTCGTCCTCATCTCGGTCGACAAGTTCCACGTCTCGGACGCCGAGGCTATTCTCATCGACGTCCAGGCCAAGGAGATCACCTTCAAGGACGTCTACGCGTACAGGTACTCCTGTCTGTGTTTGCCATGTACTCCCTCTCGTCCTTTTTACTCCGCATATTAGATTTGTGTCAACAATCTACTATAGTACGTACGTAGCATGCATGTGGTTTCATGTCCTTGTTATTCTCGGCTTGCTTATTTAGGTACGTGCTAGCTATCGCCGTTGCTGGGTGCGTCTACACCCTGCTGCAGATTCCGTTTGCGGCAGTCAGCATCGCCAGAAGGAAGACGAGGATCGGAGGCAGCGAGGGCGTCGCCTTGCTCCTCATATGCGCCGACGTGGTAAGAATAGATTAGCCAGGGCGCTGCTTACTACAATCTGCTCGCCAATCACAAATGTTTTGATGGACGATCCAACCATCCATGACGACTACCTGTGCAGGTCTTCGCACTGGTGATCGCCACGGGCGCGGCCGCCGGCTACGGCTACACCGGCGATGCGAAGCGCAACGCTGACTACACATACCACAGCTGGGAACGGTTTGCTGCCGCGACCGGGAGTCTGATTCCCCCTGAGGTCACCCAGCTCAACACGGACATCAGGAGGTTCTTCATGCTGGCCTTCTCCTCCGCCTTGCTCATGCTTCTCGCCGCTGCCTGCATGGCCCTTGTTATAATGATCTCCGTCTACGCGCTCGTCCGAAGATAATTTCGGAACGACAAGTCTTGATCGGATTTTCTAGACAATGTTGCTCTCGATGATCACATAACTGTCTTTTGAGAATATATAAATAATGAGAAATCTGATTGGTGACGCCTGCCCGCCTAGCAAAACCCAACACAATAGTGTTAAAACAAGAAAAACCCTTACTCGAAAAAAAAAACCCAAGTTGAGACCGTCATTTTTTTCTGGTAATATTATCCCGTGAACGTCAGCTGGCAGGAGGTGGCAAACAGACGTCATTGAATGGCAGTTTTGGTTGTGAGAAAAGATCAAAAGACGGCAATTTTTAAACGAAAATGGTCTTCTTGGAAAGAAACTGCCATGTCGCCTGAAAAAATGCCACCCCTCACCACTTCCTCACAACTAAAACTGTCACGAAATTGTTCGCTTATGCAACCCGGCCCTCCCTAGCAAACATTCTCCAGCTACAGCTTTCGAAAAACTTATCCCAATTTTCAGGATTTCATACTGTCATAAACTTTTGCTAAAGCACATCTTTTTTTTGAGGGGATTGCTAAAGCGCATCTAGATGTATCCTAAGTATTGCACATGTAAGCGACTCAATCAAACATAAAAGAACAAAAATAATGACCACCCTAAACAGAACCAATTTGAAAAGTAAGAAAAAGGCAGTTTTGAACATTCAGAGTAATTAAAAAGTACATTTTAAACCTTTTGAAATTCCATAAATTTCCAATAATGGATTTCAAACTTTTGCTTTCAAACAATTAAACTTCTTAATTTTTGACCTAACACAGATAAATAAAAAAGGGAAAAAAGCTTTGTGTGTGGACCCACCTGGTGAGAGAGATAAATAGAGGAAGAAAAGACACATTTGTGGGGGCCTCCCTACTCCCCGTTAGCCAACCGTTAATTCAACATCTCCAAGGAGGCCACGACACCAAAGTGCCATTGTTGCCCAACCCAAAGGACCTAGATTTTCACCCACACATAAGAGAACATGACAAGTGTAACTTCCATGACAACGCATGTAAGGCGGAGAATGATGCAATGGGTTTCATTGTCGCTCGCACCATATCGGGCAAGGCTTCTTGTTCCAAAGCAATAACCTCAACAATCAAGCGACCGAACCGACTTGAAACTCCAGAATGGCTTGTATTGGCTCCCTCCAAGCCAACCCTCCTAAGCGATGGTACATGAGCGATCTAAGACATAATCTGAGGCAAGGAGATGGCTAAAACATGTGCGACATTAAATAGAAGTGAAGCGCGTACACTGTAGCCGTCCACAAACTGGCATATGGCCTAGAAGGCAAAGCAAATTAGAGACATTTTTTCTCAACAGTGTTGCAAGAGACATGTAGTGATGTAGCAAAGAGAGGAGTAGTACGAAGAGGGCTGTAAGCTAATGCACCATAAATGGAGGAACATGGGGGTGCTAGCGTAAGGAGCAGAGAAACCATGAGCCTTTAGCTTCGGCCCTGACAAGACCGCGAGTCTCCTTAGGCCACACATTAAAAAATCCCAGTCAACCAATATGACAATTCTGAGGGCTGAGGGCAAGTCACTGAAAATGAGCTAGCCTAGCCACTTCACTGCCACTCATGAAGTCAACCAAAGCGACACAAGTGAACATTCGCGGCACAGACCCCACAGATACCAGATCAACAGTCTGCTGATAAGGAGGAGGAAGGATGCCAGAGACACCATAGTTGTCGGAAGAACACAACTTGAGCCCCAACAACCAACACTAACAAGGGAGCAGATGACCGAAGTCATCTGGGCACACCTCCATCCACGACACGCAACTACCCGAAGCACAACCGAATCCACATCAATGGGTTGCTGTCTACAAGCACCACGTCCATCATCGCTACAGAGGATGTGGGGACCACCAGGACCGCACGGGGCCACCGGCGGCACAAGGTAGATGGGTTGAATAGTCATCTGATAAGATCATCGAGGTAAAGGTGGTGATGATGCGGGGGAGGGGGCTTTTTCCAACTCTAGGTATATTTCTAGGAGTCCACTACAAATTTGACGTCAGATTTTTGACTATGGCAAATCGAAGATTTTTATGGCAATTTGTGTTTGCAATGGATGACAAGTTCAGTTGGCAAGTATAGAAAATCCGGCTCAGTTCATTTTTTTGCTAGGAAATTGTCATTATCACAAACTAAATTTGTCATCCTCACGCCAACTAAATTTACCGTAAAAACGTTTGATTTGCCATGCTTAAAATCCAACACCAGATTTTAGCATTACCGTATTTTTATAGTCAATATTGGGACTGGCTAGAAATCAATCAACTGAAAATCTAACTTGGGTCAGTCGATTTTTCCAGCCGCTCGATGGATAATAGACAACCAGTTGTGTGTCTTCAACCTCCAGCCATCATCTTCTAGCTCAGGACCACAGAGCCACCGCTAGGCTAATCGCTCCCATGCAAGCCTCTGTTGGGGAACGTAGCAGAAATTCAAAATTTTCCTACGTGTCACTAAGATCTATCTATGGAGAAATCAGCAACGAGGGGAAGGAGAGTGCATCTACATACCCTTGTAGCTCGCTAAGCGGAAGCGTTCAAGAGAACGGGGTTGAAGGAGTCGTACTATTGGGGAACGTTGCAGAAAATAAAATTTTTCCTACGGTTTCACCAAGATCCATCTATGAGTTCATCTAAGCAACGAGTGAAAGGGGAGATGCATCTACATACCACTTTGTAGATCGCGAGCGGAAGCGTTCAAAAGAACGGGGTTGAAATAGTCGTTCTCGTCGTGATCCTATCACCGGAGATCCTAGCGCCGAACGGACGACAGCTCCGCGTTCAACACACGTACGGTCAGCGTGACGTCTCCTCCGTCTTGATCCAGCAAGGGGGAAGGAGAGATTGATGATGATCCAGCAGCACGACGGCGTGGTGGTGGATGCAGCAGAACTCCGGCAGGGCTTCGCCAAGCTGCTGCGGGAGGAGGACGAGGTGTAGCAGGGGGAGGGAGGCGCCAAGACTTGGGGTTCGGCTGCCCTCCCCCTGCCCTTCTTTATATAGGCCCCCAGGGGGGCGCCGGCCCTGGGAGATCAATCTCCCAAGGGGGGCGGCGGCCAAGGGGGGTGGAGTGCCCCCCAAGGCAAGTGGTGCGCCTCCCCACCTAGGGTTTCCAACCCTAGGCGCAGGGGGGGGCGCACCAGCCCACTAGGGGCTGGTTCCCCTCCCACTTCAAGCCACGGGGCCCTCCGGGATAGGTGGCCCCACCCGGTGGACCCCCGGGACCCTTCTGGTGGTCCCGGTACAATACCGGGTGACCCCGAAACTTTCCCGATGGCCGAAACAGCACTTCCTATATAGTTTTCTTTACCTCCGGACCATTCTGGAACTCCTCGTGACATCCGGGATCTCATCCGGGACTCCGAACAACATTCGGTTTGCTACATGCTCATATTCATACAACCCTAGCGTCACCGAACCTTAAGTGCGTAGACCCTACGGGTTCGGGAGACATGTAGACATGACCGAGACGGTTCTCCGGTCAATAACCAACAGCGGGATCTGGATACCCATGTTGGCTCCCACATACTCCTTGATGATCTCATCGGATGAACCACGATGTCGAGGGTTCAAGCAACCCCGTATACTATTCCCTTTGTCAGACGGTATGTTACTTGCCCGAGACTCGATCATCGGTATCCCAATACCTCGTTCAGTCTCGTTACCGGCAAGTCACTTTACTCGTACCGTAATGCATGATCCCGTGACCAGACACTTGGTCACTTTGAGCTCATTATGATGATGCACTACCGAGTGGGCCCAGTGATACCTCTCCGTAACACGGAGTGACAAATCCCAGTCTCGATCCGTGTCAACCCAACAGACACTTTCGAAGATACCTGTAGTGCACCTTTATAGTCACCCAGTTACGTTGTGACGTTTGGTACACCCAAAGCACTCCTACGGTATCTGGGAGTTACATGATCTCATGGTGTAAGGAAGAGATACTTGACATTGGAAAAGCTCTAGCAAAACGAACTACACAATCTTGTGCTATGCTTAGGAATGGGTCTTGTCCATCACATCATTCTCCTAATGATGTGATCCCGTTGTCAACGACATCTAATGTCCATAGTCAGGAAACCATGACTATCTGTTGACCAACGAGCTAGTCAACTAGAGGCTTACTAGGGACGTATTGTGGTCTATGTATTCACACGTGTATTACGATTTCCGGATAATACAACTATAGCATGAATAAAAGACAATTATCATGAACAAGGAAATATAATAATAATCCATTTATCATTGCCTCTAGGGCATATTTCCAACAGTCTCCCACTTGCACTAGAGTCAATAATCTAGTTACATTGTGATGAATCGAACACCCATAGAGTTCTGGTGTTGATCATGTTTTTCTCGCGAGAGAGGTTTAGTCAACGAATCTGCGACATTCAGATCCGTATGTACTTTGCAAATATCTATGTCTCCATCTTGAACATTTTCACGGATAGAGTTGAAGCGACGCTTGATGTGCCTGGTCTTCTTGTGAAACCTGGGCTCCTTGGCAAGGGCAATAGCTCCAGTGTTGTCACAGAAGAGTTTGATCGGCCCCGACGCATTGGGTATGACTCCTAGGTCGGTGATGAACTCCTTCACCCAAATTGCTTCATGCGCTGCCTCCGAGGCTGCCATGTACTCCACTTCACATGTAGATCCCGCCACGACGCTCTGCTTGCAGCTGCACCAGCTTACTGCTCCACCATTCAACATATACACGTAGCCGGTTTGTGACTTAGAGTCATCCAGATCTGTGTCGAAGCTAGCGTCGACGTAACCCTTTACGACGAGCTCTTCGTCACCTCCATAAACGAGAAACATGTCCTTTGTCCTTTTCAGGTACTTCAGGATATTCTTGACCGCTGTCCAGTGTTCCTTGCCAGGATTACTTTGGTACCTTCCTACCAACCTTACGGCAAGGTTTACATCAGGTCTGGTACACAGCATGGCATACATAATAGATCCTATGGCTGAGGCATAGG